GCCTGTGTCACAGATTGTTAATGTTTGTTGTCACTTCTCTTTTAAAATTCTTATCTGAGATCCTACGTTGCAGGTCTTGACAGAAAGTTAATTTCTGTATAAGGACAGAACGTTTTTGAACTATTATAAGAAAGAATAGCAGACACATTTTGTATCTGATTCTGAGAATGCTCAGCAGCAGATCTCTGTATCACTGATGTTTTATTGGTTGGTATTTTTTTTCCTATTCCGTGAGCAGTCCTTTCTTTAAAATTATTTTTATTTTCTATTTTTTATTTTTTTTTCTAAGCACATATCAAAAGCAAAATTGCCAAAATGATCTATTCCACACTGAGATGCTGTACTTGCTTGGTATGCTTTATCTCTCAGTGATGTACAACAAAGGAAAAAGGAGCTCTGACAATACAGACATTGGAATTAACACCAATCATTTCTTAAGAGTACGGTAAGATTAACTTTGGAGGATGGATACTAGCACAATTAGTAATTTATTTTTTTTAATAATTTTTGAACTAATATTAAGCTTAATAAAAATCTAAGCTTCTGAAATCCTTTTGTCTTTTATACAGTCATTTTAAACTTCTAATGCCTTTTTAGATGATACTTTCTGCATCCGCTATCAACAAGCAGTTTTAATTACCAGGAGACATTAAAGAGATGTTGGAAAATAGTAAGAACAGTTATGAGAAAATGGTATGACCTGCCCTCCTTGAAGCAGCATTTAACTGCCTACATTACGTGACATCCAAAGAACAAAGGTTTGCAAAAAGAGACTGATAAGGTACTAATACCTACATGTTAGTTGTGTCTTCTGAGAGATTGCCAGAATTCATCTGGGAGAAGGTAGAAGACAGACAACATAGATTGATATATTTTTCATCATGTGGTTTTTACCATCTGCATTTATTTTATGTTTTCCTTTTGAGAGGCAAGGACTGTAACTTAGATCCCCGTAGGCTTTGTTCTCAGACTCTACACCTACCATTTGGCATAAGATTTAGCCAGTAGAAGAAAACTAAGATTTTTGGGACATTTTTCTTTGCTTTAGTTGCAACAGCTGCAAAACAGATGTAAGCTAACATTAGTTCTGCCAAAAATCTCTTCCAAGTCTCCCACCCATTTTCCACCAAAGAAACTAGTCAGGTGATGTGAGCAGAGACCCAAATGTCAGGAAGAAATGGGAGCTCCCAGTCCTGGTTCAACAGAGACTTAAAAAGATGCAATCAAAAAAGCTCTATTTAGGGCTCTGAAAGGTGGAGCAACAACTTAAGGTGATAACATTTCTAAAAATTAGTATTCCTCGTAGCATGATATCAGTGGAAAATAAAATTAACTACAGTAGCACTATAGCAAAGAAAATGAAATGATGGCAAGAGTTCAAAACTGGTGTTCACCCAACTGACACCCACCTAAGTCTCTTTCTAGATAATTTTTTTACTATCTCTAGTGCATTAAGCAAAATACCATTGTCTTACTAGCCAGAACTTTGCTAAAAGAGATTCTCAAAAATGACAGTGCTACTGTTGCATGGACCTCAGTACTGAGAAAGAGGAAGTGATCTTTGTTTCAGGTTTCTGCGTACCTCTCCAACTTTGAGTATAATGCGTTTATTTTAGAGTATCTTGACTATTGCAAGTTTCTCTACAAAGTACGGATTTCTTACAAAAGTATGATTCAGTGAAGGTATCGTCAATGATGTAGTTGACAAGACTCGTTTCAAAATGTGAGATGAATTATAAAAATATTCTAAATTCTTCGCATTTATGGTATATCAAAGAGGGTAAATATGAACACTGAACAACAGAAAAAATGTATTGGCTCATGACTGAGCTCTTCCATGTATTTTACGATGTTTCAACATGAACTTGAAGAGCTAAACTTGCAGTTCTGTCTCCTGAAGACAATTATGTGGGCACACAAAGCTATGAAGGCTGTTAGTAGAGCTGTAGTGGCCTTGACACTGAGTTTGTCTGTCAGGGTTTAAAGATACTACAGAGCAACACACTAGAAATAATACAGATACGAAAATTCTGTTGTTACAGGAAAGGTAAGCAGGTATATTCTCTAGTCAAAATACCTGTTTAACCTGCCTTGCACATGAAGAATAAGGAACTCTAGTAGACCATGGCAACCCAGACAGGTGTGTGTGACAAAATGAGAAAATGTTTAGAGATCTGTGTACAGAAGAAATTTCCAGCATGTAGGCTAGGGTCTGCCTAGCAAGAAGCAAGGCAAATGCATTCAGTGGCATGCATCAAAAAGAAAAAAAGTGACTGAAACTTTGCCACTGTGTCAGTCTACTGATGAAATCACAGTGCTGACAGAACTGCAGCTGCCAAGTATTTTCAACCTGGCATTTACTTAAAGGTAGCATCCAGCAATGGCTGGAATGTCTGAATAATCAGATGTCCATGCGTGCTTATATTCACACAGGGTCTGTGTGGGCTCTTGTTGCTAGCAGTGCTGAATTCTCTGTGCTGGCAAACATGAAGGATGAATGTTACTGTTGCAGTTACATTTCCTTACATCAGTGTCCCAGGAACCTGAAATTTAGATTCTGATGCCATTTATAAATTGAGAACACAGAACTGTGATCTTTGGGTATTAGCCCAAAGGATGACTTGGTTTATTAGGGTATTACTGGCTGAATATTAATTCTGGTTTCCTCTCAGAACCCTTCACTGACAGAAAAAGTTTTTCAGTCACTTACAGAGATTACTATCCTCCTGAGAGATGCTTGAATGAGTACTTGCCTTAAACTATTAACCACAGCACAAGTTAATAGCCACTTAAAAACAAGTTCTGTTGCTTTTTGCGGCTTTTGTCTTTATTTGCAATAATGAAATTCCAGTGTTGACGTTGTCATCTGTAAATGTATCACCTTTATTTAAGGTCACAACTTTTAATGTGGAAAATAGTAATCCATGAATCTTTGTTACAATTACTGACATGGGAATACTGCATGGCTCGTGGCCTTACATGGGCACAGGTTTACCCAGGATGCTAGGAGGATTTTAGCAGTGACTTGCATGAAATATATTCCTGTGTCATTCTGTAGGTAAGCAACATGCACTTCTACCTGCTTTCAAACATATGAAACTGTTGGTATAAATAACAGCAGGTCAGAATGCTAAATAAAATAATTCAGAGGTCTCTTTTCAGTGGAAAGCTAAAATAGGAGCGTAAGTATCTATGGTCAGGTCATCTATATGGTATTTGGACCTACATAGGCCCATGATGAGGTGGCAGAAGAGGGAATTTTGGGGAATTAAAGCTATATGCATATTGTTACAAGTGAAAAATCAAGTTACGGTGACAGTATAACTAACTAGTAAAAAGGAAAAATGACGATCTTGGTTTGATCTGTCAAGTTTTCTGTGCCAAGTCTGGATATTAGACCTTGGTTCCATGCTGTACCCAATGGATGTGCCTTGTAGTGCAGTCTTTCCTGGAGAAGCCCAGCTGCTGCTAGACCTGAGCAGCTCCCATACTCACTCAGCCACTTTGGTATATGCTCTCAGTACGCACACCAACAGTACACCATGTTTGAAACAAAGTTCTGTGTCTTGTCAGCACAAGCTAAGAGGTTCAGTGATTTGAAGCTATCAGCTTTAAAATATAAATTAATAACTCTAGCACTGAGTCAAGTATCAACCACTTCCCTGACTGAAAAAAAATTCAATTCTCTTCTACACAACAGAGTAATGGATAAAAACTAAAGCCTTTACAAAATACCTTTGTACCTTTACAAAATGTAGGTAGTTGCCTGTAGTTTTGAAATTGGACTCACTGGCCAGTTGGACTATCTCAGGCATGTTGATGATTCATTTGACACAGAGTTCCAGGGAGTGATTTCTTATGGGCTTTCATTTGGATTGTTGATGCAGGTTTCTATTTAAATAAGCAGCTGAAGTGTGAATTTATCTGTGACATTTTTAAGATGGTTCATGAAGCCAGAATTTGACTAATGATACTCCTACTGTTCTCTTGCTAATTTTGGATTTATATGTGTTGTATCATTCCCAAACATATAAATGTCTGATCCTCCTCTGTTTTTCTTCACTCTCTCTCTTTTCTTTTTGCTTTTCTTTTTTCTTTTCTTTTTTCTTTTCCCTTCTTTCATTCGTTCGTTCGTTTGTTCTTTCTTTCTGTCTGTCTGTCTGTCTGTCTATTTCTCCTCCCACTGTTAGATCTTTTTTTATTTAAACATTCCTTACTAATAGCCATAGAATTGCTATCACTGAGTCCAGTAGTTTGGCTCAGTGTGTACTGAACGTACCTGCTTCTGAGGAACCTGGAGACCGGTTATCAAACTTTAAATAGAACTCTTCTGTCACCAATTGTACTCCTTAGGTGATCAGCTGTAGCAGTAAGGAATTTTCTATACTGATACTAGCTTACTAGCTATGTCTTAGCCTTCTTACCTACACATTGGCTTGAGTAGGAGAGGGTTCCCATTATCACATGGGACATGCTTGCTGTTTTCTTTCTGATGTTTGTTGAATTTCTTACGAATTGTCTGTTTCTTTTCACTGAAAACATAAACCTTAAAGTGTATTCTTTAAAATACTTGAGCTCAAGTGAAGTAATAGGAGAGAACAGTTCTTGAAGTATTGCTCATTAAAACAGTAATCAAAAGATATACATCCTGCAATGTTTGGATGCACTGAGAGTTGCCAAAAATGTAAAGAGTTGAAACTGCAGAAATTCTACAGAGAACCATTACGGAAATGAAACACTGCAAGGTTTTAGAGCAAATGTTTGACATGCATGAATGGAAGTAGCAGCTCATATCTGCCACGGTTTCTGCTGTTTTCCTGATTTACAGGGAAGGATCCATGGGTATGAAGACAAGCGTGTGTTTCTGAAAAAAGAATTTAACTTATGCAGAAGGCAGTGTTGTTAAATTTGAGGTTGTTTACTATTTAGCTGTACAATTCCAACACTTCAATGTGTCATTTTTGTTTGTTTGTTTTTTGTTTGTTTGTTTGTTTTTCCAGATTCCCAAGAAGGAAACTACAAGTCAGAGGTCAACAGTAAACCCAGGAAGGAAAGGACAGCTTTCACCAAGGAGCAAATCAGAGAGCTGGAAGCAGAATTTGCTCATCATAACTATTTGACTAGGCTGAGGCGATACGAGATAGCAGTAAACCTTGACCTCACTGAAAGACAGGTAATGATGCAAAACAATGAACTTCAAATGCTTTCATGCTTTCTCATTATTTGTTATGCTTAGTGGTTAGTAACTCTTCAAAGCAGAACTCTTGCTTACGTTATTTACAAATATCTAAATATATCAGATTTAGTGTTTGTATCAAAGAGATATACATCTATTTTCTGTTATGCAAGTAATCTTTATTTTTACATGTGCCACCTACAGATTAGATTATCTTGGAGGCAGAGATGTGAAATGAAGACAAAAGTAATATGTATATTAAACTGGTGCATATCTTTTCTAATCTGTCCACGCTGATGTGGCTGAGTGGTAGGACCCAAGTACTGTATGCACAAGCAGTCAGTTTGCCTGCATGCAACAAATATGAGCATCTTGTTTTAGTCTATTAAATGTATGCAGTTGCTATTTGTCCAGAATTTCTGAACATCCTGTTTCCAGATGGCAGCAAGAATGGGAACACTAGCAAAACTGGAATACAGGCATTTTTAGCCACTTTATCTTACCCAGTGCTGTGAAAGCAGAGGAGATGATGGAATTTCTTATCACTGTTATTGGTTTCCTGCTCACCAAGCTCTGGTCTGGGAAACACTTCTGCACATGCTCAAGTTTCACTGTGCATGTTGTCACATCAATTTCTAATGGAAATATTCATGTTAAATACGTACAGAAGTGTTCCAGGATCTCATCCCAACACACTAAATGGGTGGTCAAGTTATCTTTCAAACAGTAATTACACTAACATATGTGTTTTAAAGATGTGTTTTATTAAAGGCATTTAGAATAATGGACCTAAGAACATCAAATCTGATGAAATGTTATTTACTGTTTTATCATTGAAGTTGAAAGCATTTTGCACACCCATAAGTCGTCATTCTTTCTTCAGGAATGATTGAGAGATTGCTTTAGTTACAGTCAGTAAGATGATGATTAATTCACGAGACAGCATTAAAATAACACTGAGTAGAGATAACTATCTATATGTGTGTAGAGTCATCAGATCACACTATTGTTACATTAATAACATTTGAAAAATATGTGGAGAAATACTGTATGTGCACATATTTTCACTGACCAAGTTTGATGGTAAGAATAATACCACAAGCACTATGTATGACAAATTATCAAATCAGTTGCTTTGAGCTTCATTAACATCTTCTGTAACTATACATCTCAGGTAGAATCTGTGAATACGTGAACACTCATTCACTCACACATGTGAATGAAACACAATTTTCTTTGAAGGTTTCTAGAGAATTTTTTTTTTCTTCCAGCTTGGCAAGCAGAAACCAATGCTTTTTTGTTTGACCTGAAGATGTTACTGGGTTCCATTGGGTCATTTTCCTTTACTGAAATATGTCGGTTTATAAAGCATACAATTTTGTATCCAACAACTGATAACTTTCTGCCCTTTTCATTCATACTCATGTAAGCCTAGACAATTAGAATATCTTCCACACCTCATTTTGCAGCTAAGAGAAGGAATGAATTCTTGCCTCAGTAACAAGTTAAAGTTTGTGTAAAACTGAGCAGCAACAGCAAAATTTTTTAACTATTTGCTGTGCAACTTTATGGGAAGTAATCTGCTGACTTTGGAAAACATATTCCCATTTTCAATAGTAGTTAATTTGATCTGGAATTTAACTATTGTCCCTGATAAAATGTTTTATTCTTTCCTTTAAGGATTGAAGTAGATAGATTAAAAGGATTTAAGATACTGTAAGGGTAAATACTGAATAGTGTCTCTGGAGGAGAAAAGGCATCCTATGCAAGACTAGTGCTGAGAAATCATTTAAGTTACAGGTATATTTGTTTTCTGATTGTCATATAATGTCAGTTCTGTTCATTGTCCTGGTAAGTTTCATAATTTCTATAGAATTATAATTAGCCAACCTAATTATCCAAAATAATTCTTCTGTCCTTCCCCAGATTGTCGAAGAGTGATAACTGAGCTGCTATAGACACCTCCCTTCCTTCCTTCCTTCCTTCCTGTTTCCTTGCTTTCCTTCCTGTCTTCCTTTTTAAAGCCACTATTATTTAGAAAACAAAAAATATTCATCTCCATAGAATCCAGTTCAATATCTTGTTGAAATAAGGTAGTATGAGAGAAAAAAAAAAAAGGTATAGCGTAAAATCTATATCGTTAATCCAAAAGAAAAGGAAAATTGAAAGGAAAATCTAGGCATAGTTTTTGGATTCTGGATCACACTGAGCCAGGTAATGGTGTGATTTCTAATGTTATCAGTTAGAAGTGTCTTTTTTTGAAATCAGATATTTTGCTTTAATGCAAAAATAGTCAAGGAACTGGGCATGGGTTTCCATGGTGTATGGCAGTCTTCAGAAACTGAAAGCAGTAAATCAAAAGGCTTGAATCTTCTTACATATTTGTTACACAGTAGTATTTCAGTGATTAAAAAAGTGTCCAGAAAAAACTCTAGCACAGATCTGCTGTGAGACTAATTGTTCTTTCTTTTTCAATGAATAAACTGAATTCATATTCAGGACCTGTCTTTTCATCATTAGTGGAGTGAATTATTATTCATGAATGGGATAATTGCACCTATTTGTTTACATGCTGCTGTTATTCCTTTTTTTTACTAGCTGTTCCAGCTGAGGAGGTCAGATTTGATGCTTATTTTAAACATATACAAGAAAACATGCCTTTCTCTAAAAATCATTGTGACTAAATAAGAACACAGTAGTAGGGTTACCCAGATCACTCTCTCCAGAGATGCAGAAATGATATTTCTGAAGTAGTTTCCATATCCTGTATTACCACAAAGGCTGCAGTGTAAAAAAATGGTACCTGGTTGGCAGTAATTCCTTTGTTTGAAATCTTCAAACATGCAAGTAGTTATAACCTCTGTTTCATCACAGACTGTATAACTGTGTAAATATATATGATGCAAGCTCCTGAAAGACTGAATTTGCCCAAAGAAAATTGAAATTTGCTTCAGCTGATGAAAAAAAACAGCAGTGGATATCTTATGAACTAATGTATCCCCTCAGAAACAATCAGGCCTAATTATTTAGCATATTTGTTTTCAGAATTCTTTTTTTCTTCTTCTATATTGTTTTCTCTTCCTGTCCTTCCTTCTCTTCCTTCTCCCCTTCTTTCTCTTTCTCTTTTTTGCTTGCTTTCTTCTTTCTTTCTCACTTTTTCTCTCTCTTTCTTGCTTTCTTCTCTTTTTCTCATTTTTTTTTTCTTTTTTTCCTCTTTCATGACATTATATTATTCAGAGGGAAGAGGAGCAAAAAATAATTTGAGAAAAGTATTGTAGTGTTACAACTTTCAGTTTATTTCCCAAGATGTGAGATAGATCATAGTCTATTATCTCAAGAAAGCTTTATCTTCCTCTTGACTATGGTGGTAATTTCAACCATACGTTGCAGCTTAAACGAGGTACTGACCAACTAACACTTCATAATTACCTTTCTGGCATTTAATCAAGCTGTAGAAAAAACATATGTCTGACCATATTAAATGCTACATAAGGGTATTAACATTTTCTGCAGTCATCAAAGTAAGTCTCCATTTGACTTTTAAAAAAATTTACAAAATTAGTTCAAATATAAATGACCCATGGAAGGCCATCTCACAAAAATAATAATGAAAAAACCCACACAGCATATGGACCAGGAGAAGGAATTAATCTTATCACTCCCTGAAAAGGAAACCTGAGTTACAAGACAGGAGAAAGAAATGAAATAAGTACCTCAAATGCCTAGATATTAAGAATGCACTTTTAGAGCATTATAAGCACATCTGGTGGTAGGATGGCTCTATTATGAAATTGTAAGGATTCCAGAAGTATAGGTACATATAATTCCTGCTCCATGTCCTATGGAGTGCACTCACAATCCCTGCTCAGTCAGCAGTTAATAATTTTCAGCTGGCAGGCCTCTATTATATTTTGAAGAGCCAGTTAGACTAAAAAATATCTTCACTCCCTAGATATTTGTAACCTTGACAAGCGCATTCTTGGCTTTTTTGTACATCCAGATAAACTTGGAGAAGGTTCCATTCAGGCTTTTTAATATCTCACTGTGGGATGAGGAGAGGAAGCAGCTGCAGTGGGGTATCAGAGGCGTGGTAAAATGGACATTTTTATGGAACTGATCTTGCCAAATATAGAAAGAGTAGGAGATCTTTCCACCTCACAAGATCTTTTTGCATGGAGCTAATCAAAAGAGCAATGTTACAGTTCTGCAGGCTAGATAAGGTTACCGGAATAAACAGTCAAAATACGTAATGCTTCTGTTTGCCAACATAAACAGAAAATCCCACCTAGTCAGATCAAATTCTGCTGATGGCAACGAGAATGTTTATTTCTTCTTAGCTTTAATTTCCAATATCCACCCAGAAGCCACCAGTCATTTATAAAATGCCTGAAACCTTTGATTGTGTGTTGACAAGGGATGCATTTTGTTCTAAATGAAGAGTACTTTTGCGTTTCTTTTTGGCTTTCCTATATGTAGTACCAACTTGGGAAGAGTGACGAAGAACTTTTTTAATGCTCCTTTCTATCAGAAAAAGAAGGAGGCAACATCATAAGTTAAATGCTTTTAGGTAATGTTGATATAGTACCTTGGGCACTGAGGCCATAAACCACACTGGAACATTAAATTGTTTTGGTTATAAAAATATTAAAGAAGTTTTCCAAAAGAAAGTTTTCTCCCATGCAAATGGTACCTCAGCCCTAGATCACAAGTGACTTGATTAAAATCCCTTTCAGCATCAGTGTGCTCAGGGGGATTTAATCACAGAATTTTTTAGGTACTGAATTTGACTGATAAGGTTACAGCCAATGCAAAGAGAAAGACTCCACCTGAGAGTTCATAAATTGATCATACATAGTTGAACATATCTGTCTGATTGATTGTGCTGTCAAATCTTCTCTGAAAGGCGGCTGCTCATTCTAAGCTTCCACGTGCTAAACACTCTCTATGCACAATATAATAATGAGCCTGCATGGTTTAAAATCATTTGGATTGTTTGT